AAAAAAATACATTTCACTGTGTTTCTTTAGTATTAAATTATTGTAAACAAATCTAAAATATATTTAGTTGGGTTAGGCTAAAATAAATTGCGCTTGTTATAATAAGGTTAGGTAAGTTTTCTAAGTTCCTTTTGGTGCAAAATTATAAATTTTTATATCAACATTACTGGAAAAAATATATCTTTAAACGTATAAGAGAAAATTTTAGAAAGAACTTAATTTTAAATGAGTTCTTGCTAATTGACCAGTTTTACATATTCGGCACGACATATATATATATATATATATATATATATATATATATATATATATATATATATATATATATATATATATATATATATATACATATACATATATATATATATATATAAATATATATATATATATATATATATATATATATATATATATTATATGTATATTATATATATATATATATATATATATATATATATATATATATATATATATATATATATATATATATATATATATATATATATATATATTAATACATCGGCCGATTCCCACCAAGGCAGGGTGGCCCGAAAAAGAAAACTTTCATCATCAGTCACTCCATCACTGTCTTGAAAGAAGGGTGCTTTACACTACAGTTACAAAACTGCAACATTAACACCCCTCCTTCAGAGTGCAGACACTGTACTTCCCATCTCCAGGACTCAAGTCCGGCCTGCCGGTTTCCCTGAACCCCTTCATAAATGTTACTTGGTTCACACTCCAACAGCACGTCAAGTATTAAAAACCATTTGTCTCCATTCACTCCTATCAAATACGCTCATGCACGCCTGCTGGAAGTCCAAGCCCCTCGCACACTAAACCCCCTTTACTCCCTCCCTCCAACCCTTCCTAGGCCGACCCCTACCTCGCCTTCCCTCCACTGCAAATTTATACACTCTCGAAGTCATTCTGTTTTTTTCTATTCTCTCTACATGTCCGAACCACCTCAGTAACCCTTCCTCAGCCCTTTGGATAGTAGTCTTGGTAATCCCATACCTTCTCCTAATTTTCAAACTACGAGTTCTCTGCATTATATTCACACCACACATTGCCCTCGGACATGACATCTCCACTGCCTCATTCACTGCAACATTCATCACCCATGTTTCACACCCATACATACATACATACATATACATATATACATATACAAATATACATACATATACAAACGTTTATATATATATATATATATGTCGTGCCGAATAGGCAGAACTTGCGATCTTGGCTTAAATAGCAACGCTCATCTTGCCATATAGGACAAGTGTAAATTTGTGTATGCAATAATTTCGCCAAAATCATTCTGAACCTAACGAAAAAAATATATTTCACTGTGTTTGTTTAGTATTAAATTATTGTAAACAAATCTAAAATATATTTAGTTGGGTTAGGCTAAAATAAATTGCGCTTGTTATAATAAAGTTAGGTAAGTTTTCTAAGATTCTTTTAGTGCAAAATTAAAAATTTTTACATTAACATTAATGAAAAAAATATATCTTTAAACGTATAAGAGAAAATTTCAGAACGGACTTAATTTTAAATGAGTTCTTGCTAACTGACCAGTTTTACATATTCGGCACGACATATATATATATATATATATATATATATATATATATATATATATATATATATATATATATATAAACCATACCACGGGCGGGAATTGAACCCGCGGTCAGAGAGTCTCAAAACTCCTGACTGCGGGTTCAAATCCCGCCCGTGGTATGGTTTGTTTGCAATCGTATCATTACGATTTCGTGAGTCATATATATATATATATATATATATATATATATATATATATATATATATATATATATATATATATATATATATATATATATATATATATATATATATATATATATAATATATATATATATATATATATATATATTTATATATATATTATATATATATATATAATATACGTTTGTTCATATGTATACAAGGAAATGTACTCTTGTTCATATGTATACATGTTTGTCTTGGTAATACTGGGGGCTGGCGAATCCCATAGAGTTAAACAACAATATAGTACTTAAGATAGACTACAAAACTGCTTATCAGAGATGGTTTCCCATTTATATCATGGAAATGAATGACTGATCCTCATAAAACTCACATAATTTATATAGCTATGAAAGGACATATAGTAGTCCTTATCATTGTAAAAACAAAATATTGTTTTTAAATTCGGATTAATATTTATTATTTGCTGTTGTTTTTAATAAAAATTTCAGCTTGCTTGTTCAGTTTCTTATGGGTCCAGATAATTAAATATAATACTCCAAATTTCTTTTTTTATATAATTTGCTAGAGTCAACAAACCAAATTTAAAAACTAATCTGCATCAGAGTGAGACTCACGCTAAAAGTCTGAAGATCAATAAACAAACCATTCATATTTGCGTATTTGCAAATATGAATATTTACAGCCTAAATTTATGGGGTACCATTCTTCTCATCAAATATGACTTAAGAAATCGTAATGACACGATTGCAAATAAACCATACCCCCGGCCGGGATTGAACCCGCGGTCATAGAGTCTCAAAACTCCAGCCCGTCGCGTTAGCCACTAGACCACTAGTGGCTAACGCGACGGGCTGGAGTTTTGAGACTCTATGACCGCGGGTTCAATCCCGGCCGGGGGTATGGTTTCTCATCAAATATTTCAGCAGTAGTGTGTTGAAGTAGATCACATCAGACATTCTTTACTTACTGAATAAAAATCAGTATCACAGTTTAACTATATTTGTCGAAAATTGTGACTTATGTCTCCAAGTAATATTGAAAAACCTTCCGAAGCCTACCATAAGAGGCGTTCTCCAGGTAACACACTCAATTCAGTGATTCTTTTAACCAATGAAGCCATTCTAAGGTGTGGTCAAGATGTATAAATGAAGAAGTGCAACACGTTCCTAAAAATGTCAATTAAGAAATTAATACCTTTAATCTCTACTAACAATCCCATCTTGGTGCCATCAAAACACAGGAAAATCACAAGAAAAAATGAGTAATCTTTACATAGACTGAAGTGCTGTAGTAGGTGAAGTGAGGAGACGAATGTTGATCCCAACGAAGAAAGAAAAACTGAGAAGAACAGAAGAGAATCATCTAAGAATAATGAGTAAAAACGGCAGATGATGAAACAGAAAATTCAAGAGTATTCCCTCGCTAAATGATGCTACATATGGGACCTCCAGAGAGAACCTCAAACACAAACAATCGTATCACAGTCACACTAAACATATTTATATTTTCTACCCTTTATCCTTAAAACATCAATAGTTGAATGAACCCTTCCCCTTTGTGCAGTGAAACAGCATCGAAAAGTTGAAGCCGAACGGACGAGGCATTCTTAAGTTGTACAAGAAAGTCTGGATTAAGGTAAACATATTTCACAATTTAAATTACGAAACCTGCACTCCATTTTATATGTTCTGAAGTGTGGCTTCTTTAGAGATGTGAAATTTTAATGTTGCCCACTTGAATAAAAATAAGCTATACCAGAATAAACTGCTTTTACCCTTTACCAATTATCTGAGTTGGTGTTAATATCGCCCACTCACTGTCTGGCCACTGCTGTGACCTAGTAGTTTTATCTAATACCGAGAAGAAATATCTGGGGTTTTTCTCCAAATATTTGTTAGCAAACTTTATAGCTTTATCTAATTAAACCTGTTTCCTGCTAATAAACAAATTCTCGCTTTCTCTCTATTTCTTTAGCCTTAAGTATTTCTAACTCCTTTTTTCTGGGACCTGTGTACATTCAATCCTTCTCAGGTCATTTTTTTTCTTTAATTAGGGCAAATTTAAACCTTAAAATCCCTGCTTTAGTACTCTGATTATTTGCAGTGGGACTTGATTCAGGGTCTCCTGCTGACAGACATTTTGGAAATCAATAGCACAAAACACTGCTTTTTATTACAGCATAAGTTAATAAAGATAATGATCCACAATAAAGCAAAGCACGAAAAATTACTACACAAAATATTATTACATTCACCGAGAATTACTATCATTAAATAATTCTCTAAAAATCATCAATTTTGCCTAACAACAAAACAAACAAAAATAATTATCACACCTGACAAAGGTAATTATTATTTACTGTTAATATTTTAAAGTAATTCCTTCCTTTAATCGACCTATAAATAAAAAATAAGTATTGACTTTCCAGGTTATTAAAATTGAATTATCACATTAAATTTGATAATTCTCCCGGACTTGACCCCCATGTTACGAAAATATCCTGGAGCCTAGTTTGGCAAGTCTTGTCTAAACCACATACAAAATATTAAAAAATAAACCACCCTATGGTTACACTTGCAACTTTACGGAAGTGCTGAATAGGTGGCCAATACTTTAGGCTCGATTAACAGGAAGGGCAGATAAACTCACCTTAAAAACATTATCAGCAACAGTATATACAACACAGAACGTGCCTTCGCTACCGCTACTAGCTAATCAAGGCTAAGACACTGAAGAAAAAATAACCATTGCACTAGGTACCATCGGGGCCCTACTATCCTAGTCGGCTTTTAGCCTCGTGTTAAATGTTCTCTTACTTCAAAATCATACCCGAACACCTTGGCCCCACTCAAACAACAGGGCCTGTGTGAGCGCAAATGTGACCCAAAACCAGACTATGGCTTGAAAATTATAATAAAATAGTCCTTTGTAATTAACACCATGCTACCTCCATCACACCACACAAGCAACTACTAGAATAACGACGCCACACAACACTCAATCCCAGTCACCTGTCTCTTACAGTCCAATAGGCATCCACTTAAACACTAATACTATTTTTATGGAGCTTTTTTTCCATATTACAAACACTGCTTTATATTATATAAATAATATTTAAAGAATGCAGTATTCTGCATAATACTCAATAAGACCACATAGTAAATGTGTTAAATCATTCCCAATGAAAAAAACATATTTTTCACAATCTTTCTCTTGTACAGAGTCGGCCGTGATGACCCACTCCCATGACTCCAGTACACCTCTTATAGGCAACGGACGATTAGTGCAAGGACAGGTGAAGCAAGAACAGATGTATCAACAGCAGCAACAGCAGCAGACACAACAGCAGTATCCTCAGCAGCATCACTACTCTGATCAGCAGCAACAGAAACCTCAGCACGTGGTGAGGGTGGAGGCCACAACTGGAGGCGGTGTAGGAGTAGGAGAGGCGCCGTACTACCCAGAAGACGTTCTTCTGGAAGGCGGTAGTTCCTTGCCCTACCAGCCTCAGAAGGTCACCTACGTCCCCGTCTTTGACTACCAGCATCACCCGCAACACAAGGTGGATACACCGACCTAAAACCTCCAAAAGAGGTGCTTTCTAGTGGGTGATGACCTTCCTATCCAAGGAAATGGATCACACCTGATGACCTAATATTCCCCATGTACTGTATGATCTCTATGAGTATAATAATAGAATCCAAAAACCATCCCACCCTTAATTTCCTAATCCTTGTCTTCTCTTTTCGTCCAGTATTATCGATTTTTCCTTTTCTCTTTTCTCTTGCTGTCTCCCACCGAGGCAGAATGACCCCCAAAAATTAACACTTTCACCATCATTCATACTGTCACTGTCTTTGCAGAGGTGCGCAGATACGAAAATCTATGTCACTCTAGACTACCAATATCCCAAACCCTTCATTTAAAGTACATGCACGGTACTTTCCACATCCAGAAGTCAAGTCCGGCTAACCAGTTTCCCTGAATCCCTTCAGAACCCTTCCAATACGCTCACACATGCTTACTGTATATCCAAACCCTCTGCACACAAAATCTCCACTGCAGATTTATAGACCCTCCAAGTCATCTTATTGTGCTCTTTCCTCTCTAATTGACCAAACCACCTCAACAACCTCTCCTTAGCCCTCTGAATAATACTTTTAGTAACTCTACACCCCCTCCTAATTTCCACACAACGAATTTTCTGCATAATATTTACACCACACATTTCCCCTAGACACGACATCTCCACTCCCTCCAGCCTCCTTCTCGCTGTAACATTCACAGCCCATGCTTCACAACCAAATAAAAGTGTTGCTACCACTATACTCTCATGCATTCCCTTCTTTGCTTCCATGGATAACGTCCTTTGTCCCCACAGATACCTCAGTGCACCACCCTTCATCAGTTCTATGGTTAACCTTATCCTTCATAAACCCATCCGCTGACGAATCTACTCCCAAAGATCTGAACATATTCACTTCTAAAATACTCCCTCCTCCACTTGCAATTATTATTATTATTATTATTATTATTATTATTATTATTATTATTATTATTATTATTATTATTATTATTATTATTTTGGATTATTCATGTGAGGTGCTAAACCCATAGGGGTCATACAGTGCCTTGGAAATGTGAGGTAAACAGATTAGATCCGAGAAAGTTTGTAGTCAATAGGAAATTGGCTTCACCAGCGAGCCTTTCAGTTCACGTTGCTTCACCTTAACTAGAGTGATGTGTAAGGAAGCTGAGAGAGGTAGAGGAGTGATAACATGGGCCTTTGTATATTTGTATTAAGGTGAGAGAAGTTTACGTTGTCATTATTAATGGTGGCAGTTTAAAGAGAGGGAGGGAGAGAGAGAGAGAGAGAGAGAGAGAGAGAGAGAGAGAGAGAGAGAGAGAGAGAGAGAGAGAGAGGTAGCAGCAGCGAGTAAGCATGAAGTAAAAAATAACAGGGCATAAAGACCGTCACTACAAAATAAACACTGAGGGAGATACCTATCGCTGTTATCAACCTCACTACTGTATTGATCTGCTCACCAGTCTTCTTGCTATCACTCTCCTCAGGTATCAGGTCGACGCTGGTGCTGAGAGCGGTGTCGCTGAAAGAAAACGAATGTCTTCCTTGATGTCCTCTCTTTTGAAATATTTAAAGAAAGTGGTTAGAGGAAGAAAAAAATGCCAGAGAGAAAACTTAATTAAAGTTCATGTTCTTCTAGATAAGGAGAGTTGGTGCAAGATGTGTGTGTGTGTGTGTGTGTGTGTGTGTGTGTGTGTGTGTGTGTGTGTGTGTGTGTGTGTGTGTGTGTGTGTATGTGTGTGTGTGTGTGTGTGTGCGCGCGCGCGCGGTGTGTGTGTGTGCGCGCGCGCGTGTGTGTGTGTGTGTGTGTGTACTCACCTACTCACCTATTTGTGGTTACAGGGGTCGAGTCATAGCTCCTGGCCCCGCCTCTTCACTGATTGCTACTAGGTCCTCTCTCTCCTTGCTCCATGAGCATTATCAAACCTCGTCTTAAAACTATGTATGGCTCCCGCCTCCACTACGTCACTTTCTAGGCTATTCCGCTTCCTGACAACTCTATGACTGAAGAAATACTTCCTAACATCCCTTTGACTCATAGGAGTCTTCAATTTCCAGTTGTGACCCCTTGTTTTTGTCTCATCTCTGGAACATCCTGTCTTTGTCCACCTTGTCAATTCCTCGCAGTATTTTACATGTCATTATCATGTCTCCCCTGACCCTCTTGTCCTCCAGTGTCGTCAGGCCGATTTCCCATAGCCTTTCTTTTTAGGTCAATCCCCTTAGCTCTGGAACTATCCTTGTTGCAAACCTTTGCACTTTCTCTAATTTCTTGACGTGCTTGACCAGGTGTGGATTCCAAACTGGTGCTGCATACTCCAATATGGGCCTGACGTATATGGTGTACAGAATCTTGAACGATTCCTTACTGAGGTATCGGAACGCTATTCTCAGGTTTGCCAGACGCCCGTATGCTGCAGCAGTTATCTAACTTATGTGCGCCTCAGGAGATGTGCTCTGTATTATACTCGCCCTAAGATCTTTTTCCCTGAGTGAGGTTTGCAGTCTTTGGCCACCTAGACTATACTCTGTCTGCGATTTTCTTTGCCCTTCCCCGATCTTCATGACTTTTCATTTGGCAAGGTTAAATTCAAGGAGACAGGTGCTGGACCAGGCTTGTAGCCTGTCCAGGTCTCTTTGTAATCCTGCCTGATCCTCGACCGATTTAATTCTCCTCATTAGCTTTACATTATCTGCAAACAGGGATACTCTTGAGTCTGTCCCTTCCGTTATGTCATTCACATATACCTAGGACTGACCCCTGTGGAACCCCGCTCGTTACAGGCTCCCACTCTGACATCTCGTTACGTACCATGACTTGTTTTTGCCTCCCTGTCAGACATTCTCTGATCCATTGCAGTGCCTTTCCTGTTATGCGCGCTTTTGCATTAACCTCTTGTGAGGAACTGTGTTGAAGGCCTTCATGCCATCCAAGAAAATGCAGTTTATCCACCCTTTTCACTCTCGTGTTTTACTTGTGTTACCTTGTCTTAAAACTCCAGTAGGTTTGTGAGACAGGATTTTCCTTCCCTGAAACCGTGCTGGTTGTCGTTTATAAGCTTGTATCTTTCTAGGTGCTCCACCACTCACCTCTTGATGATCTTTTCCATGACTTTGTATACCATACACGTCAGAGACACTGGTCTGTAGTTTAATGCCTCGTGTCTGTCTCCTTTCTTAAAAATAGGGACTGTTAGGTAAGACACATATGCAACAGTTAGGTATCTTTATTTCGAAACGTTTCGCCTACACAGCAGGCTTCTTCAGTCGAGTACAGAAAAGTTGATAGAAGCAGAAGATACTTGAAGACGATGTAATCAGTCCATCACCCTTAAAGTTTTGAGGTGGTCAGTCCCTCAGTCTGGAGAAGAGTATTGTTCCATAGTCTGAAACAATATGGAGTAGAAGTGACAGGATGGAGCCTAGGCGGTATATAGGCTCCATCCTGTCACTTCTACTCCATATTGTTTCAGACTAGGGAACAATACTCTTCTCCAGACTGAGGGACTGATCACCTCAAAACTTTAAGGGTGATGGACTGATTACATCGTCTTCAAGTATCTTCTGCTTCTATCAACTTTTCTGTACTCGACTGAAGAAGCCTACTGTGTAGGCGAAACGTTTCGAAATAAAGATACCTAACTGTTGCATATGTGTCTTACCTAACAACCTTTCGGTATTTTATACCATTTTAATGTTCAAAATTGGGACTACATTTGTCATCTTCTATACCTCAGGTAGTTGCCCAGTTTCTATGGCTGTGTTGAAGATTTTTGTTAGTGGCACGCACATCATCTCTGCTCCCTCTCTATGGACATAATACTCGTTCTTAAAACAAATCTTCTTCTTCGAGGCCCTTCCTCCTCTCGACCTCCCTGTGATAGAAGAAATACTTCCTGACATCCTTGTGACTCATCAGTCTTTAGCTTCCATCTGTACCCCCGATTACAGTTTTTCAAACAGCCCAACTGTCTGCCCTTTTAATTCATCTTAACATATCGTGTATGGTTATCATGTCTTCCCTGGTCCTCTTGTCCTCCAGGGTTGCTAGAGTCAATTCCTTTAGTCTTTCCTCGAGAAAACCATAGTCTATAGCCCTGGAACTAGTCTCGTTGCTTACTTCTGCACTTCCTCAAATTCCTCAACCTGCTTCATCAGGTGTGGGTTCAATAATGGTGCTGCATACTCTAAGATAGGCCTAACAAATGTAGTATATATCACCCATAATGATTTTTAGATTTCTAAGACAAGCATTGGTTGCTGACGTTACTAGGTTGATGTGAACCTCTGGCTACATGGTAGGCTGCTCCAGGAGCCTAGTGAAGATATAGTTAAGGAACATGTCAACTAATTTTTTTTAAGAGTGACTTGTCAGGCATTGTTTAAAATTTTCACATATTTAATGCATTATAAATTAATCTATTTTGTTCAGTCCTGATCTTATATTCATATTGCAGTCAATACTATTTTTACGAAGCTAAAATCAATAATGTTCCACTCAGTCCTGGACTTGTTTTATACAACCTCGGCCTTTTCAAAATCAAATATGTGGTTAAAATTTCTCATATGAATAAGCAGAGCATTAACTCATTTTTCTATTTTTTTTCAGTCCTGCTCCCTGGCACGTTCTAATACTATATTTTTGTTGTAATCTTAGTTTTAGTTTTTTTCCACTTAGGCCGTAAATAACTTTATTCCGTTTTTTAAAGGAAATCTTATAGACACAGCTATCAGCATTTTGGAGGAATTCTTAATTTTTTTTTTTACAGTATCAAGATTTTCTAATGCAACTTTGATTTTGAAATTGTTGATCAGAAAATATATATCAAAGTTTTCATGGTAAGACAGAATAAACATATTCCTGGTTGAAAATGTACCAGTGTCCTTTTTTTTTTAATTTTAAATATATTTTGGTAATTTTGAAAGATTTGTCAGTTATTTTTGGGGGGATACCTTTGATATACATTTGAAGAGTTTCGAGAGTTTGTCTACTCTCTGAGCCCGGCCATGGGCCAGGCTCGTCTGGTGCTTGCCTGGTCAACCAGGCTGTTGCTGCTGGTGGCCCCCTGCCCCACATACAACCTGGTTGATCTGACACCTGGTGAAGATACTTGTCCAGTTTCAAAAACGTGGAGAAGAACACAGAAAGTTTAATTTTCTTAAGATGTTAATAACAGCGTTCATAAGAGCAATTTATATTTACATACAAAAATATCACAGCCAGGCCACCAGCTCTCAATAAATGTAGATAGAGGGTGGAAATAAATGGTATAAAATACCGACACAATGGCAATATAAACACAAATGCAGTATAATGTGATCCTATATTGACTACGTTTCTGTTTGTGACTTGAAAAAGCCCACTGTGTGGGCGAAACGTAGTCAATAAAGGATCACATTATACTGCATTTGTGTTTATATTGCCAGATAGAGGGTGAGCTGACGCCTTAACCTGCTCAGCTATAGATGCAAATAACTTGGGGTTGCCAGCTGTGGAGGTATTGTCCCCCTGTCAGTCCCTCGAAGGGTATTTAAAAGGACCCTTCTTCCCTATGAAAATAATTTAAATAGAAAAATAATAATAACAGGTAATAATAATCACTCGTTGAAAAAATATGCAAAAATAATTTAAATATAAAACGAACTTGAGAATATCCTAACTTAAGCCAAACAGGAAAAATAAAATGTTTAAAGTAATTACATGAAACTAAGCTAATGTTCCAATATATAAATATATACGGGATCAGGAGAGATGGTATTACTTTGAGCAGATGGAATGTCGCAGGCAGTTTTTTTTTTATTTTTTTTATTTTTTATTTAGAATGACAGTACATATACAGAGTACATACAATTATTAACATGGAACATCAATAAAGTACAAAGATAAACAGTATTTTACTTAAGGAGAGTACCGTACTCAAACACCTTCAAAATTTTTTTACGATAAGGATTCATGTTGCTGACCATGAATCACGTGAATGACGAGATAGTCGCTGTTGGGCACGACTCTTACAGAAGGCAGGTCATCGTTCTGAAGAGATGGAGAGCAGAGGTACCAAGCTGCATGCGATGTTTCGGTTAGTAATCAAAGGGTAATTCAAACGCTGGGTTTTGGTATTCTAATAAAGGTTATGAAGTCAATGGATGGTAATTCTCCTGAATGTGCTTAGAAACTGTTGTGGCATCCAGACGATAGTCGGTAAAAGTATATAAAGTCACAGATGTAGAACTTAGATCAAGCTGTGTCAGAAGACCCAAGCCGAGTCACAACGCTATAAGAAATAAAAAACGTAACAGTCAAAAAGCCGGACAAGCAGTCACTCACATGCTAGGCAGAAGGCCTGTAAAAGAAATGGTAAGACTAAGAAAAATTACGCTAACAAACTTAAGTCAAATCATGCCCGGTTACGTTAACATAAAAACCCAGCATCTAGAAAACGACAAGAAGCAGGAGTGGAACCCCATACTTGTAGATTTCGTGGGAGCAAGAAGTCAAGTGGGTTAAACTCTCTAGGAGGGTGCCTTGTCGACTCCCACAGGGTGGAGTTAAAAGGGGAAGAGGTACAGAAAGGTAGCGACGCCCAAACCTTACTCAACAAGCTTGCTGACTAAGTTTTGGGCGTCGCTACCTTTCTGCACCTCTTCCCCTTTTAACTCCACCCTGTGGCAGTCGACAAGGCACCCTCCTAGAGAGTTTTAACCCACTATCATTCATTCATGTGTCCACTCATTATTTAACGAACATTTGCCTCACACCAGCAAGAATGTTTCCATAAAGACTGGCACGTCAGTGAGCCTCAGTCATGGTTATTAGCCTCTGTCTCCCGTGTCTATACTAACTTTTTTTTTACCTTTTCCGCAATTTTCAAAAAATTGCATTTGCTACTCTATTGACCGTATGTTTCAGATGTTATAGTCTTTCCCCCATTTTTATCGGTTTTCATTCTTTTCATTAATTTTAAATAATCTAAAAAAAAGAGATATATATCATTGGCTCTGCCGGTATTACAAGTCACATATACCTCTAATTGCACTAGTCATTATACCGACTCTTGTGGGACCCCTCTTGCAGTACTTTAAAATCCCATCGTCTCTTCTCAAACAATTACTCTTTGTCTCATTCTCTAAGGAATTCTTTGAGCCCCAGTAGCACATTCCTTTCTTCTTGTCTGGTCCTCAGTTTTTATCTCGGTCTCTTGTGAGGTACAGTATCAATTTTTTTTTTTTTTCGTAGTCCAAAAATATGCACTTCACCCATCCCACTCTCTTTTGCCTCACTTCTATGTACCTACCTAATTGCGGTTGCACAAGTAGAATCTTAGCCCCTTTGTGTGTGTGTACTCACCTAATTGTGGTTGCAGGGGTCGAGACTCAGCTCCTGGCCCCGCCTCTTCACTGATCGCTATTAGGTCCTCTCTCTGTTTCCTGAGCTGTATCATACCTCTTCTTAAAACTATGTATGGTTCCTGCCTCCACTACTTCACTTGCTAGGCTATTCCACTTCTTGACAACTCTATGACTGAAGAAATACTTCCTAACGTCCCTGTGACTCGTCTGAGTCTTCAGCTTCCAGTTGTGACCCCTTGTCCCTGTGTCCCCTCTCTGGAACATCCTGTCTCTGTCCACCTTGTCTATTCCCCGCAGTATCTTGTATGTCGTTGTCATGTCTCCCCTGACCCTTCTGTCCTCCAGTGTCGTCAGTCCGATCTCCCTCAACCTTTCCTCGTACGACATTCCCCTGAGCTCTGGGACTAGCCTTGTTGCAAACCTTTGTACTTTCTCTAACTTCTTGACGTGCTTGACCAAGTATGGGTTCCAAACTGGTGCTGCATACTCCAGTATGGGCCTATCATACACAGTGTACAGTGTCTTGAACGATTCCTTATTAAGGTATCGGAACGCTATTCTCAGGTTTGCCAGGCGCCCGTATGCTGCAGCGGTTATTTGGTTGATGTGTGCCTCCGGTGATGTGCTCGGTGTTATGGTTACCCCAAGATCTTTCTCCCTGAGTGAGGTCTGTAGTCTTTGTCCACCTAGCCTATACTCTGTCTGCGGTCTTCTTTGCCCCTCCCCAATCTTCATGACTTTGCATTTGGCTGGATTGAATTCGAGAAGCCAGTTACTGGACCACATGTCCAGCCTGTCCAGGTCTCTTTGCAGTCCTGTCTCATCCTCATCCGATTTAATTCTTCTCATCAGCTTCACATCGTCTGCGAACAGGGACACTTCAGAATCTATTCCTTCCATCATGTCGTTCACATATATCAAAAATAGCACTGGTCCTAGAACTGACCCCTGTGGGACCCCGCTCGTAACAGGCGCCCACTGTGATACCTCTTCACGTACCATGACTCGTTGCTGCCTCCCTGTCAGGTATTCCCTGATCCATTGCAGTGTGTGTGTGTGTGTGTGTGTGTGTGTGTGTGTGTGTGTGTGTCTTCATTTGCAAGATGTGTCTGTATTTTTGTGTGTGCCTTAAACAACATTTTATCTCTGGTAATTAAGAAGAATCATTAAGAAGCAGCGCATGATTATAAAGTATTTAAAGTCGCAGTTTTAATGAATCTCCTTGTTCACTTGTGTCATGTTGCAGGGTGAACGCGACTGGTCGGCGACTGAGGGCGTGTGGGGCGGCGCGCCTGGACCAGCCGTGGGCGGGGGAGTGGGCGGGAGTGCCGCTAAGGACCAGCCTGACAGCTCGCCTTTGTCTCCATACGGCGTAGTTGATCCCCGGCGGCACTCTGCCTACTTGCGCCCACTGGACCAACTGCCTCCCCAGCTAAGCCAGCTGCCGCCGCACCTAGCAGAGCACCAGCTGGGCAGGCAATATGTGCCCACTCTCCACCATCCCCCTCCCTCCACCCCCAGCATGTTCCAACCCACCTCGGAGCATGAGAGCGCTGTCTAGTGATCCAACAGAAGCTGGAGTGCGGCTCTGCCTGGGTGTTGCATACTCAACTGTACACTAGCATATCACTTCTTTCTGATCACCCTGATGGTGTACGGCTATGTTCTAGCTCAGATTAGCAGATGTATGGCCGGTACACTTTGAGTGGGAGTTTATGTAGCAGTGTACAGCCTGTGTACTCGATGTATGGGTCAAGTTTGTGTATTTGCCATTTGTAAGTGTATGGCTCAAGCAGTGGCGCGGACAGGATTACAATCTAAGGGGAGGCTTAAATCCGGATTTCAATTTGCTGGGTCATTAAAATCATGAAATGCTGAAAAAATCAACGAAATAGTCTTTAAACAATAAATGATTTCCAGTATGTATGTGAAATTTCTTACTCTCGTCCCCTCTGGGGGCTTTAACCCCCGTGGCTGCACCACTGGGCTAATGTATTGTGTGCAAGACCGTGTACCAAGCCCATGTAACAGCTGCTCAACCCGTGTAACGAAGTGAGGGTACAGAGTTTGGGCTAGCCCTGTGTAACAAGTGTATGGCCAGTGTAACCTAAGTGTGGGACTAGAACTGTGTGCTAGCCCTGTATAACACTTACGAGGCACGAGTTAATAGGTCTGTGTACTAGTTTTTCCTATACGGTACATCTCTTTGATTACTGGGCAGTGTAAGACAGGCCTAATAGAGTAATACATGACCGAGTATTGGCTCAACACTCTGGCCCCTACACCAGGCTATCAGCAGACGGAGACACAGGGACCTTGGCTTGCAGCCATTCCCGGCCCCAGAATGGTACCACTGATATTGTTTACAGACGCTCTCTCACAGAGAATCGACTCAGTTCCCTGTTATCCAGGGAAATTATTGTGCGTGTGTGTGTGTGTGTGTGTGTGTGTGTGTGTGTGTGTGTGTGTGTGTGTGTGATGTGAAAGAGCTAGCCTTGTGTTATTTATACTACCAAATGGACTACTAGGCGTGGCGCATTTCAAGCTTTTTTTACTCGGGGCTACAACACATACACGTTAGAACTGCTAATATAAAAATACTAAATGTCATTATACGGGGAGAAATGAGTCCAAAAATCGGCGTTTCCGTGATGTGCTAAGTGAACAAAAGTCATTCTATCAAAACCCATATTTCGCGCACTGATGAGTCGTGTTTGAATGACCTCTCTAGTCCCAGATATCGCACAGTGATGTGCCGTGTGTTAGCGGCCTATCAAGTCCCAGATATCGCACAGTGATGTGCCGTGTGTTAGCGGCCTATCAAGTCCCAGATATCGCACAGTGATGTGCCGTGTGTTAGCGGCCTATCAGGTCCCAGATATAGCACAGTGATATGCCGCGTGTTAGCGGCCAATCAAGTCCCAGATATAGCACAGTGATGTGCCGTGTGCTTCAGTGACATTACGTTACCAACCCTACAATTCCTTCTTCCGGAGGACAAGACTCCTCACAGTCAGAGACAGAAATGGGTTAAAAGCATCAGCTCATTTATTTTTGTACTTACGTCTAGTGTAATTCCTGGTTTAAAGTGTGTTATTTCCCCTGTGGCGCAAGTCAGCTGTGTGGCCTAAACAGTAATGTGTTTAAACATAATTTCTGACAGGTGAGATTGCATTTCTACTGTAAAAATTAATAAAGCATAGTATTAAGCCTCTCTTGATAATTGCGAGAGAGAGAGAGGGAGAGAGGGAGAGAGAGAGAGAGAGAGAGAGAGAGAGAGAGAG